CAGTTGGAGTGAAAACACATATTAAAGATTGAACTAGAATGAAAAAGAAGGAGAAATGAGAAGGGAGAAAAAAGAAAATTATTTTGGCCACTCTGATAAGACTGAGATTTATAACTGTCACTTTTTAATGGTTGGGTGTAAGACGTTTAAATAATACTTCTTATCTACTTTTAAAAGCTAATGGAAATATTCGTTTTACTGTGTGTCCTTCTAGGTTCTACTATAGGTATAGAATTAAGTTTGTTTATTCCCTTAGAAATCATTTGGCCTATAATTTCCTTACTTTACATATGGTTAGATTGAGCCCCAGGACGTTTTATATTTTGCTTGATATTATTTTCTTAATTTCAGGTTTTAGGGATGTGAGTAAGCAAATGAGCTTGCTACCCAGAGATACTTTAAATTCCAATGCAAAGAACTTGATCTTTTAAAAATTTGCATTCAGTGTAGAGTTTATGAAATAAAACTGTTTTTCTCATTCTTTTTGTTTGTTTTACACATTGTTCCACTGATTAATCTATCTCTGATTGATAGCTCAGATGCTACATATAGCTTTCCATTAGAATAGTTCAATATCAATTTTATTTAATTAGTAAAGATTTTCCATAGAATGATAGGATTGCCCCCAACTGAGAGCCAGGACTTAGGTAACTATTAGTGTACCTGATGGGTTTAGGAGTTAAACTATATTATGGATCCTGTGAGAAAAGCTGACGTTTCATCACTATGTTGTTCCATGAGTCTTTCTTGAGGCGTTTACAAAGAGAAAGCTTTTTTAGATTTCTGTCACATAGTTGCTATCACATTAATCAAGTCTTGTTTCTATCTTGAGTTGTGAAACATTGTGATTTAGATGTAGCTTTAATCAGTATTAGTCATTTTTTGGACTTGATGCTGGTAGTTTTCGATGGGGGTTAGGGGGCTGGAGGATGGGGGGCAGTTTGCTCCTCAGCAGGATAACACCTTTGTGAACTGGTTCTGGCTCAGGACTTTTGTGAAAAGGTTGTATTGCCCGGGGTGGGAGGGGGGATGGGTGTGTGTGGGGGGGAATAAAACATGACTGCAGCCTTAAAGTTGAGTCCCTATGAGCGGTCACTAAAACATCTTCATTTTATAGAATATAGAATATCTGGTGAATTAATTGTTATTAAAGCAGACAAGTATGCATTAAAAATTCTGTGTTAGCATAGAAGTATAATGTTAATGCTAATAGTTGATGTCGCGAAGGGTCTAACTGCTTGGCCAAAGATGTACTAAAAAGTTATCTTGAAGCTTTGTGGGAGGGTTCATATCATATCCATAGCTTTGAATTCATGCTGTGTCCAGAAGGACTTGGAAATGCTTCCCAGCCTACAGGGTGATAACATGTAAGATGGGATGTTTCTTCTCCTTCTAAAGCTCTCACTGGTGCCTTTTGGATTGTAGTCCTTAATTAATTGGTGCTTGGTAATAGGAAGTACATATAGAATACACCAATACAAAAATATGTAGGAATTCTCCACATTGTATTCCCTTCCTAATTATTCATTTTTAATGTCATAAATTTTCAGTAGAGGTAATTCTGGCACAAAATACTTTTTCTGAATATGTCTCTTGGGAAGCAGTTTTATAATGTGCATGTTGATGTTCCAAAATGCAAAAGCAGGAGGGAAAAGACTATATGAAAAAAATAGGAAATGGTTGTAATTTGTTTTATCATTTAAAAAAATGTAAAGATAATTAATACACTAATATATGTATAGTCCATATTAATGTGTTTTTTATTTGATCCTGTCATTTTAAAAAGTATTTGCATTTTGGAATGGAGTTATTTCAAAAGCAAAGAAGAAATGAGACACTTGCATAAATGAACACCTAATACTTTAAAGTTATTTCTCTGCTGAAATAAATGACTCTTTTCCCTTAAAAAATAGAAAAAGGTATACTGATCAAAAGACAATGCTAGTTAGAGACTGATTTTTTTTTTTCACTAGAACACACAGGATCCTTGGGGTCCAGACAGCTTTAGTTTTATGGCCCAATAGTGCTTTGTCTGAACTAACACAGAGAGTATTTACATTGGCATGATAAACTGCAGTGCCTAAGTGTCTGGATTTGGACTGCCTGGGTTTGAATCCTGGCTCCTCCACTTACCTTCCGTGGAACTGTGGGAAAGTTACTTAGACCTCAGTTTTCTCACTAAAAATGGGAACAGAAATAACACCTCTGCCATAAGGTTTTTATGAGGATAAAATGAGTTCATACTTGTAAAATGCTTAGGACAATACAGTTGCCACCTTAGGAAAGTCAGATTGCTGAGCAAATGTAAATCAAAAGGTAAGCTTTGGTAAACTGCATAGATGCACTACTGTTGAAACCCTTATCTGGACTCTGACGTCTGGATACATGGTTTCTCTAATTAAGTGAAACAGGGCAGCTCTTGCCTTATCTTAGCCACCAACCTGCTTTTTCAGGATGCCCTTTTTTAGTACAAGATAAAGGGTCAATGGTCTGTTATGGAAGTTCTTTTCAATATATCATTATCTCATATTTTTATTGCTAATTTTTGGCTTATAAATTCCGACCATTAAATTCTGGACATGGAAGAAAATGTGTCATTTGGTGATTTATTGAGATCATAGGATATAAAATTTTAGATGCTATGAAACTTTCAGATTTGTAACGGGCTAATATGAGGGGTACTTTATGGACCTGTTTTCTAACCTATTCCCCGAAAAGCACATATTTTAGAGACGCTAATGAAATTGTTAAAAATTCAGTTTTATTTTTAGTACTATCTAGACATTAGATATGTCATCAACAGTGAATTGGAAGGCGATTTTTAAAAGATGTTTTAATTCCAGCGTTAAAATACAAAAGTTTCAGAATCCTTTGGTTTAGTTTACTCTAGTTTCATTTGGTAGAGCTGCTAAAAAGTCAAGAGGAATTATTGAACATTTATCCCATGAGGTATATTGAAATAGGGACTTTTACAGAAGTCTTTCATTTAGTTTCTGGATGCTCTTACATAGGACAGGAATAACACTTACTTGGAAGAAGGATGCCTTCAGTCGTTTCCTAACACTGTCGTCATTGTCAGTACCTCCCAATGCCATCCACTTGTGTTTCCCAAAAGTACAGAGCTGTTAGAACTTTTTGCCAGAAAGACTTACAAGTCATGCTACCAACACAGGGTTTTAAAAAGGTATTCTTTTATTTATTCCTGACCTGTTTAGCCTAGACAATATGATTTTTTTTTGTCCATTTTACTTAAACTTCTGACTTAATGTTTCATTTGGTTTTACAGTTTTAATTTATGCAATGGATATTTGTTAAGTGTTTACTATTATTTTCTAGTTACTGTACCAGGAGCTGGAAATACATCCATGAATACTGGACATTTAGCAACTAACTGCCAGTAAGATAGTGTTACCAAAATGAAGATAGGGAGTACGTCAGGAGTGTTTATCAGAATATAACTGTTATTTACAGAACATTTAAATCACAGTTTCCAAAAGGGAAATACTTGAATTAGTACTTTCCAAAGTGGAAGTAAAGGTGAACATATTTATTCAGTATTACAGGGAGTTTTGAACCATGGACACATACTGGGGTTAAAATTTTATCTAGGATACATAACAGAGGGGGTTTGACTGTATTCAGATACATGCATCAGCTGCTTTTGGAAGTACATCATGACACTTGCTAACTGTGTAGCAGCTCAAAGGTATGTCTCTCACTTAGCTAATCCAGAAGGAATATTTCTAGGCAGATAGATCACGATTAGAGGTAACTGAATTACCTGATGTCCAGGAGTACGGAAAAGAAATAAAATGATGACAGGCAGGTGCTGAATTGCTCTCCTGACTGTTGATGGCCTCAGCACTACTGAGGCAGAGTTGTGGCTTTTCTAGCTCCGCTTCCTTTCTGACTTAAGTACTGACTCTTCTTGACTCCATCAAAGATCCTGTATCTTCACTTGGTAGTGTCAGCCCCTGTAAATATTGTTATCTTCATCATTTTCTCAGGAAAGCTCAGACACTTTGAAACTTAATATGATCACCACTAACAGTCACAGTTCCTACACGGTGTTCCAGCTGCTAACATAATTGGTCTCAGAAGTAAGTTTGAGTCATAATGACCTTTTATTGCAGATAGGCCTAGCATAACTTAGGAATGTTCTTTCCTAGGAAATGATACTTTTAGAGCAGATCAGCATTTCCATTTGTTTGTTTCACAAAGCACTAATGTAGAAAGATGTCACACCCTCAAACTCCCCCAAAATTGGAGAAGGTGATTATGGGGTCAAATGATTTAAATAAATGAGGGCGTATCTATATATTACTTCACTCTTGGAGAGTCATAATGCATACCAGCATAGTATAGTCTCTGTGAAGTCCTGCTATAAAGAAATGTTGCATATTTTTTATCTTAACGTAGCCAATCTTATTGACCGCAGTTTTTTCTTAATATATCACCTAATAATAATACCAAGGTTGACTGTTCCACGTTTATTCAGGTTCCTTTCTGCCATGATCCAGATATTGGTGGCTCACAATTTGTAGACAGATCTTAACAGCCACAGGCAGTGAGAAGCTATCTTCATCAGCCTTTTCTATAAGAGTGCAAGGAAAGCTCTTTATAAGCCTTCTATGGAACACTTACATTGCTTAGAATACACTTTTAAATTTTTTTAGCAAAGCCTGAGCTAATTCCTTAAGCAATCTTTGCTTCTCTGTATACATGCTTCTGTTCCTCAGGTTAGGGCTTGAAATGGTTGGCTTCTGTGGAATGAGTAGAAACCGGTGAGCTTCTCATGACTGGGCTGTGGCTTGGGTTGCATTTTTCCTAGGATATGGTGGCCTGGGTGACCGGTGTGCCTAGTGACGCATTGCGCCATGTTGCCTGAGGCTAGTGCTTGCCCATGGCAGAACTTGTGAATGGCTTGTGCTACCATGTCGTGGAGCAGTCCATCTTCTGTGGTTCTCCTTGCAAGTTACGTATTTATTTGCTTTCCACAGCGATGGAGAAGGGAGAAAAAGGACCTCGTCTACTTGCAGTAATGAATCTCTAAACGCTGGAGGAACCCCTGTCACCCCTCGTCGAATCTCCTGGCGGCAGCGCATTTTCCTCAGGGTTGCTTCTCCCATGAACAAATCTCCCTCAGCGATGCAGCAGGGTCTGTGTGGTACACACTAAAGAATTATGCCTTCTCGGTATCATAAACTAGGGAATGGAATGCAGTGCTTTGGGTACAAAGAGATTTAAGTGATTACAGTAGAGAAATAACTTGTTTCTGTATCTGATACAGTGGTTAGCTTCTCAGTTATCATTAGAACATATTAGACATTCAGTAAATGCTTGTTGAGTGAATGAGTGAATGAGTAAGTTTCCCAGACTGAGCACTATGATAGTGCTAGAAAAGCATAGATCTTTTTATTATTAGAAAATTTAACCTATGCTTTTACAAGAGTCACATATAAAACAAAGTGCCATAGAAATGTTGAGTGATAGAGAAATGGATACAGATACCCTAGGAAAATATCAACCAAAAGATATTAGACCTATTAGAAATTAAAGCAGAGATATCCAAAAGGGCAAAGTAAATATAACAATAAACAAAGATGCAACAGTGATGAGAACATGCATAATTACGCAGCCTTGAAAGCTGGAAAATAGAACTTTACAGAACATTTGGGAGAAATGAATCAGTAGCTCTCGTGGGAGATTTTAACATATTCCTCTCTGAAAATTAAATACAGAGAAGGTTAATATAGATAATATTTGAGAAATACAATTAAACAAGCTTGATCTAATATTTATGCAGAGCCTTGCCCGCTGTAGGGTAAGTTCATTCATTCTTAGCACACATGGAACATTCCTAAAAATTAATTATGTACTTGGCTACAAAGGCAATTTAGTAAAAACAGTCATAAATATTCATACTGTATTCTCTGATTATAGTGCAAAAAAAAAGGAATCAAGAATTGGAAGTCAACTAAAATATTTCAAGTGCTTAGAAACTGAAAACTACTAGAAACTAGAAGGAGTAAAATATGTTCAGAGCCCTACACATCAACATTGAGTGATATTTAGAGGGCATTTCTAAAATCAGGAAAGACAAAACTCAGATATACTAAGTGTTCAATTCAAGAAGCTAGAAAAGGAGCTATAGAGTAAAATTTTTTTAAAAATTGTTTATTAAGGAAATAAATTAAAAGGGTAAGGGCAGAAGTCAGTAAAGAAAAAGAAACGAGAAAACAACTGACATTTCTAGAGAAAAAAATTAACTCTGCCTAGGGTGGCCAGAGAAAGCTTCACAGAGATGTTGGATATTTATATTTAAACTCATTGCTGGGAGAAGCGTATTTCAGAAAGAGGGGCTAGCAAAGGTCTGACGTCACTGGAGAGAATTTTGCAGGTCAGAGAATCATGAGAAATTCAGCATGATGGGAGCAGAGGATGGGAGATAGAAACAGAGGCCAGAAGGGTTCCAGGAGGCCAGAGTCTGAAGCCGTCTGTATGCTATTTGCAGTGATTTAGACTTTGTACTTTTGGATACAAGCAACCGTTGAAATGTTTTAAGAGACACAATCACGTTTGTTAATAGGAAAATAATTGGCAGGAGTGCAAAAGATGGCCCAGAACAGAGGGAGAGAGTGAGCTGCAGGATTGGGTAAGAGAATGTTGCAGGAGCGAGCCGAGGGACCAAGCCAAGACCTGCCCGGTGTTGCTCAGCTGCTCTTCTCTTGCCATCTCTGATGGTAGATGGAGACCTTTAGGAGATTGCTGTTACCTGCTCATGTTATCTTTTTGCTTTGCACAATCAGAGAATGTACAAAGATAAATTGCAGAAGTGTTGGGCTCTGGGGAATGCCAGTTCACTTTAGAGCACCTATCTTATAGGTCATTTTGTGCAGAAAGAAGAAGTGGCGAAATTGCATGTGCTTTCATTTCACTGTGAGAGGGAAATCTGGCAGGGGAATTTAGTCTAGTGAATTTACTTAAATCGTTAGTTCCAGAAATGCAGTTACTGGGAAAGTGGTTTTGTGAAAAGCTTTAAAGGTGGAAGATAGGATGAGAGAACACCAGTTCTAGACAAAGCTTCCGTCGTCTGGGTAACTAGTCAGGAATGCCTCTCACTGTTTTCTTCTCTGCAGATGGACTGGACAGGAATGAACTGCTACCACTATCCCCTCTTGCTCCAACCATGGAGGAGGAACCACTGGTTATATTCTCGTCTGACGAAGATGACCCAGAGAAGGCTGAAGAAAGAAGGAAATCAGAAGAACTGAGGAGTTTGTGGAGAAAAGCCATACACCAACAAATCTTGTTGCTTCGAATGGAGAAAGAAAACCAGAAACTTGAAGGTTAGCCATTCAAACAGGGCTAAAATGATATGATACTATAATGGAAGGGTTTAGGTTAAAACCACCCCCAGTCTCCCCCACCCATTCTCAGAATGTGAATACACTTTTACTAGGATTTTACTGGCTATACTCGCTTAGTTTTATTTTTGTGAGGTTGCTATGCCGTGGGAATGTTCAGCTTAAAATATTTACATTTTTGTTTAATAGATAAAATGTCAGACACCTTTAGAGTATATTTGGGTAACAGAGGATGTAGATAGTGTGGAGTCAATGTATTTGATATGACTGAAAGTTTAATATTATTGTGCATAACTTAGGAGAAAAACCCTTAAACATGAAAAAACACATTCTCTTCTTTTTGAAATTGATTCAACTTTTAGGATCATTGTATTTATAATAGAAGAAATGTGCCTATTTCAAATAAATTGTTTTGTACCCAGTTCAACTATCTAATTACCTGTTACCAAGTCAATCCTATTTTTTGTTGTTGGCTTTATACATTTCCTATTTAACAAATCATATTCAAATCTTCATTAAATTTATATTTGGATAATTTACAATACCTGCTGTGCCATTTCTGGTGCTTTACTGCTTAGTTTATGAATACCAAATGCTTTAGAATGCGTTCTCCAGACTTTGAAAGAGTGTTGTTTACCCCAGTATGAAGCACACATAAGGAGATGGGCAGGCAGTACTCAAACTCAAAAAACATATTCATGTTATTATATTTGGCAATCCACTTAACCTAAAAGGACCTTGTTTTTCACATTTGTAAAATGAAAGATTTAGCTTAAGTGGGCCCTTTGGCTTACAAGATTATTGGAAAATGTACAATCTAGGTTTTTCTCTGGCTTGCTTTTATTGTGGTGTCTTCCAAAATGTTTTTTTAGTACAGGAATTCACATTTCTGTGTTCATCACCTGTCTTAAGATTCCTCTTACTACACTTATTATTCAATTTGGTTTTTAAATTGAACAATATTTAGTTTGCAAGCCAACAGTGTATTTTCTTTATCGTTGTTTTCTTGGCAGGATGGAAAGTATATGAGGTTTTAAATAACCCTAGCAAATTAATCTTCTTTTCTTTAAAATGAAAACCCCAATTAATTGTTATTGATATAGCTTTTAAAAGGTTGATGTGATAAATGGTATGCCCACTCGAGCTTTTATAGGTTTTGAGAGGAATTACATTCATATTCAGGATAAGACAAGAGGTGACATTTAGCAGATATGATCAGAAACCCTTATTAGTTCTGTATTTCTTAAGTAACAAAGACAAAAAATAGTTGAGCTGTTTAAAATTCTAGTCAATGGATAATCATTTATTGATGGTTCTTTGTTTTTTGCCTAGTTAACCAGGTGAGGACAGATGTTGACTGCTCTTACCCAGCATTTTATCCTCAGGGCCCGAAGCTGGCACATAGGCCTTGATTATTATTTTAAATGAATAATGATTTAGAGAAGGTTGCAGGGGGGAAAAAAGGAAATGTGCTTTGTCCACTGTAAAAAAAAATCATTAGTAAACTTACATATAGGGTTATGTTAATTATTTGCTTTAATGAACCCACTTCTTGAAAAAAAATTATTTGATTATCAGAGAGAAATATAAAGCAAATATTGAGAAGCAAAGCTAAACTCTGCTAGAAAGCCATCTAGTGGTATCCAGGAGGAGTATTTTTGTAATGAAACTTACTTTTGATTATGTCTGGACTTTTAAGTAGAAACTTTTAGCCTTACTTGAATAGCAGTATTATAAGATATTTAAGTTCTTTGAAATGGTTTCAGACACACTAAGTAAAGGGAAATACTTACTCTGCTATTGTTTTTGTGCTGTTGAGGACTTTGGATGCATGACAAAGATTTGTGTTGCAGAAGGTAAGGGGTTGAGCACTGTGAACTTGAATGAATACACATTGATTTGAGAGACTCTTGGTCAGTGTGATCCTGAGGAAAGAGAAGAAAAAATAGCTAAATGTTCTTTCTTCATTTTCCCTTTTGGAATCAGTTATTGAAGATAAAGAACACATCAAGATAGTGTTGCTTTTCGAGGCCCTTTTTTTTTTTAAGATTTTTATTTATTTGAGAGAGAGAGAGAAAATGAGAGAGAGAGAGCATGAGAGAGGCGAGGGTCAGAGGGAGAAGCAGACTCCCCGCAGAGCAGAAGCCTGATGTGGGACTCGATCCCGGGACTCCAGGATCATGACCTGAGCTGAAGGCAGTCGCTTAACCAACTGAGCCACCCAGGTGCCCCTTCGAGGCCTTTTTTAAATGAGCTCTGGGCTTATGTTTTAGGCCATCAAATGAGAGAGAATTCTATGCTATTTTAAAAAATGGAAGTAGTGTTAATTTCAGTGAAATGAAGTTTCCTCTTTAAGGTTATTAAATATGAACACAGAGACACATGGCTTAGCGTTTTTAAAGGCAGTATTAGTAACTCTGGAAATAGAAAAATTTATCGTGTTTCATGGTCAAATATTTCTCTAATTAAGGTTAGCAGGAGGCATTGTTTTCTCCTATATGTCATATATAAAATGTATATATATAAAATATATAAAACACTAGTGGTGTTGAAAATGATGCAAGTTGTTACTTCTGAGGCTACCACATTTGTCAAAAAAAATTGCAATGTAGAGCCTGGCAAACATGATTTGTTTTTTATGCTTAGCAGAGTTCCCATCTGTAAGATACAGAAGTGAAACATCCTTAGGAAGTTATTCCTGATAACTTTTTTACATGAAATGACTCAAAATTTTAGAACCGTCCGTGTATCCTCGATTTTTTTTAAGTTTACTTTTTGATCAGATGTTAGCGGTTGATTCCTAAAAGTCATTTGGTATGATTTTACAAATACAACAAAATGTTAAAAATATTGTGTTTTCAGAATACATGGGTTTTACATAAATTGTTTTGTTTTTCTTAGCAAGCAGAGATGAACTCCAGTCCAGAAAAGTTAAACTGGACTATGAAGAAGTTGGTGTATGTCAGAAGGAGGTCTTAATAACCTGGGATAAGAAGTTGTTGAACTGCAGAGCTAAAATCAGATGTGATATGGAAGATATTCATATTTCTCTTAAAGAAGGTATTCCGGATCTTTTTTTTTTGAGTATAGTTGATGCACAATGTTACATTAGTTTCAGGTGGATCATCGTAGTAATCTTTTTTTTTTTAAGATTTTATTTATTTGAGAGAGAGAGAGAGAGAATGAGAGAGAGTGAGCACAAGCAGAGGGTGAGTGGCAGAGGGAGAAGCAGACTCCCCGCTGAGCAGAGAGCCTGATGTGAGAGTTGATCCCAGGACCGATCAGGACCTGAACTGAAGGCTGATGCTTAACTGACTGAGCCACCCAGGCGCCCATGTAATAACCTTTTATAAAGAAAATGTTTAGAGATTTTTTTTTTTTGATTGTGTAGCTCAGGTATATGTGCTTTGCCTATAAAAAAAGGGAAGTGATTTGCTTTTGACCACAGTCAATGACTCAGTTGGGAAGAAAACAGTGCTAATGGAGAGACTGTCCTTGAGGAGTTAGGAGACACCTTTCCTATAGATTTTTCTGACTTCTTCAACCAGCTGTTCTTAGCCCTGTGTTGCTGTTTACCAAGGAAGGAGTGAATGCATTGGTACAGACCTTAGATTATATCCATAAAAATAATTTAGACTTATAAACTTGACTTATTTCCATCATTTGGTCAGAAGTGTTTATATTTATGTGTCTATGTCAATGTATTATGTATATTCACCTACATGTATCTGTATACATAAACAGATTCATATTTTTATTAATCAATCAGTTTTCCTTCCATCTATGTGATCCTTTGTTTATCTTGGAAAACTTGCTTTTATTTAGCCATTATACTGCATTGCTGCTCTGCCATATAAACTGACTGATATTTAAACATCCTAAGTGTAAAATTGAAACTAGCATGTGAATATTTGAGGTGCATTTCTGTGACCCAGATATTAAAATGAGAATCTCCATGGCCTGTATAAACTGAATGTAAAATAAAAATCCAAAAATAGCCAAAGAAATATGATAATGAATCTTGTTTTAAAAGCTTATGATTAACGTGTGAAACTTGCACAGTTAAGTTTAAATGAAGTTGAGAATAATTTTGTAAGATGCTACATTTACAAGCCTAATATATTGGGTTTTTTTTTTTTTTCCCTTGAAGATATGAAAGTCCTAAAGATTTTCATTGACTGTATTATTTGGGACACAGCAGTGCTTAATAGAATGTGTGTGAGATATCGATCACACCATTCTTTGGAATGACTTTTAAAGGATTTTGGGGGTGCTCATCTTTCCATTTCTTATAGAACACATTTTAAACTTTTTTTTTAAAAGATACTGATTTATTTGAGAGAGAGAGAGAGCGCGCGTGCATGAGCGGTGGGAGGAACAGAGGGGGAGGGAGAGGATCTCAGGCAGGCTCCACACTCGGATCCGGTGCTCCAGAGAGGCTGAACCTACTCTGGGTCCCAGTGTATCTCCCAGGCTGTTTCTTGCATGGAATGCTCCAGTTCTCCCTACATTCCTTCTTCCTTACATCTCTGCCTGCTCCCCATTTCCCATCATCCCTTTATTTCCATCCCGACTCCTTCTCACTCTTCCTTTCTCTCCCCATTCCTTGCCCATCTGAGCGTGTTCAAACATTCCTTTTTCTTAATAACTAATTTCTTTTTTTAAAAGATTTTATTTATTTATTTGACAGAGAGAGAGCACAAGCAGGGGGAGCAGCAGAGGGAGAGGGGGAGAGAGAATCTCAAGTAGGGGGGAGAAGGGCAGAGGGAGAGGGAGAAGCAGGCTCCCCACTGAGCAGGGAGCCCACCTCGGGGTTCAATCCCAGGACCCTGGAATCATGACTTGAGCTGAAGGCAGATGCTTAACCACTAACCGACTGAGCCACCCACGCGACCCAACATTCCTCTTCCCAAAGGGATTGCTGCCCACCCTGGAAAATTCTATTGTCTTTTTGTTCGCAGTTCAAATACCATTTCTTCAGAAATAGTATGCCCTTTTTTTCTCTTCCACCAAAACAAATTAGTTTCACTTTATTTTTTCTCATGATTCTTTCCCTTTAATTGTGCTTATCATAATTTGTAACTTTGTGTTTATGTATGTATTTGTTTAATGTTTTTCTCACCCCACCACTGCATACCTAGCACCTAAAAAGCATCTTGCACGAATTATTTACTGAATGAATACATGGATGAATAAATGAATGAGACTAATTCCTGAGAATGGATTTATTCATCTTCCAGGGATGAAGTATCCTTATTACCATTCTCTGTACTTTGCTACATGATAGATGTTCAACAAATACTTATTTAGCTGAAGTGAATTGCCTTCTTGCAAAATTGTTATTAGATGGATAATAAAACAGCCCACTCATGTTATTAGAGATTCATTTAATGGGCTAATGAAAGTTACCCAAAAAATGACATTTTACATGTGATCATTCATTCATTTGTCCAACACATGTTTAGGCTGCCAAGTATATTTTTGTTTTTCATCAGACAGAGATGAACATTTGCTCGCTATTCTCAAAGAGCTCACCAGCAAAGTGGGGAAAATAGGCAAACATGCAGTGTGGAGCTAATCCAATATGGTGATGTTAGAGTATGTGTCAAATAGTATGTGAAAAGGAAGTGATTACTCCTAGAGATGTGAGAAAGAGCTTCAGCAGAAGAATGGCATTCAGGCTCAGCCATAAAAGATGAATAGAAAAACACTGTGCAATCAAGTGGGGGAACTTGGAAGTCCATAAGGCAACAGTAGGAACAAGAAACTGGAGGTGAGAAAATAACCATGTGCTTCTTTTACTTAGTGTATGGTGCAGAATGGGAGGTAATGGAATGGAAGAAGGTAGTTTGGAGGTATATTGTGGAGGGCCTTATAAATCATGTCAGTGAGCCTGAGTTATACCTTTTGGACAATAATAGTTTTGGTTTATGCAAACAATCGTACTGAAGTTCAAAAAGATCAGTGTCATTAAACCTTCCTTAATCAGCTGGGAGCTCAGAAACCTATTCCTCATCCAGTTTACCTGAACTGAAAATACTTTGTGAGGTAGGATATCTGCACTATACAGAATTGAATTAGTATGTAATGAAGTAAGCACTTCATTTTCATTGGCATAAAGAACAAAGATATTTTGGGGGGAGGGCACCTGGGTGACTCAGTTGGTTGAGTGTCCAAATCTTGGTTTCAACGCAGGTCATGACCTTGGAGTCATGAGATCAAGCCCCGCGTCTGCTCCCTGCTCAGCATGGAGTCTGCTTGGGATTCTTTCTCCCTCTCCTTTTACCCCTCCTGCCCCTGTGCTCTCTCTCTCTCAAATGAATAAAAGAAAAAAAAACAAAACAAAGTTTTGGTATACTTTGAAATGCTTGTGATACCCTTTGGTTCTCGAGCATAATGGAGTTAATGTTTCATTATCTATATGCTGGATGATGTCTTGTCAGAGGAGGTTCTGGAGCACTCCAGTTAAGCCTTCATGTTGTACTGACCATTCTTATTACTTCATTCTTTTACGACCATATAAAAATGCTATTTAATTCTCTTTTACAAAGTTACTTATTGATGTCAAATATTTAGAAATTATAAGTATTGACATTTGTTACTTGCTTCAAACCAAACGAAAGATGGGAATAGACAGTGATACATTTCATGATTTCAGAATTTGGCCTCTGAAGCCAGACTCGGGGAGTTCTAATTCTAAACTTCTATTTGCTAAGTGTGCAAACTTGGGCAAGTTGCTTAGCTTCTTTCTGCCTCAGCTTGGCCATCTGTAAAGTGGGGATAATAGTAATTGCCTATCTCATTGGGTGGTTTTCTGAGCATGGGTACAACGCTGAGTAGCAAGGCACCCTCGGTGAATGTTATATTAGGTGCCCAATCAGTGTTGGCCAATGTTGTTAACATTGCCTTTATTACTACTTGAGGGTTTTCTTTCATAAGACATCAGCAGTTACAGGATTAAACTTGTCAAAATATGCTTCTGTCAGTATATCATACTGTATGACCAGAGGGTGGCATGCAGGACATTACAGCTGCCTGTTTTCAAGCATTACAAAGTTCCTCAGCTGAGATTTAGCAACTTCATTCCAGAGTTTGAGACCTTGCTTTTTTATCTTCGCAGGTGTTCCCAAAAGTCGACGAGGAGAAATTTGGCAGTTCCTGGCTTTACAATATCGTCTAAGGCACAGGTTGCCCAATAAGCAACAACCTCCTGACATATCCTATAAAGAACTTTTAAAGCAGCTCACTGCTCAACAGCATGCTATTCTTGTGGATTTGGGTATGTTTGTTGTATTGACTATTGTACAAAAGTAAAAAATAGGTCCCTTTGTTGAGTTTTTTGGGGGGTTTTGCTTGGGTTTTTTGTTTGTTGTTGTTGTTTATTGTTTTGTTTTGTTTTGGTGTTGCTAAAGAAGATCTGTTGAATTATGCAGAGCTGCTGACTTTGCCCTTTCTTGAGGACAAGTTGGCTCTATATCTGGTTGAAGATACTGTAAGTGCCTGAATACAGAATGAAGTTTTCATCCCCAAACTTGCCCCACCAAAAGGGTGTTATATTTAAATCATTATAAAGGTCATATTATCAGATACTCCCAGTTCCTGTATTTTGAACAACTGACTTTTGTTTGAGATAGACATTTATCTTCTCAATCAACACTGGTTTTAAAATAGAATAGGTTAAAAGGGGCACTAAAAATTTTAAACAAGTCTTTGAATATCACTTTAAAAAGCAATACAATAAGTAGTTATGTTGTGGAATCATGAATACATCCCTATAGGATGAAAGAAAAGAAAAGAAAGAAAGAAAAGATGAGCCGTCCTAATATTACATGAATGGGTACTTGTGACTGGGGGAGAATTTCCAGTGACAGCATCATAAAGCTGTCTTTTTAAATGCTGAATTTCAAATAACTAATGGAAAGTAAAAATAGTGTGCTTTAAAAAATTACATTGTCTCTAGTTTTTCTCTAACTTAGGATATTATAATATGTATATTATTATTTAAGAACGCCTGATTGGATTAAATATTGTACATTGGTATTTGACTATTTCATCTGTATCCCTAAGAGTTGATGTATTTAAAGTGGTCAAATATGTTACTTGAGCCCATTTGGGAAAATAAGGGATTACCTTATATTTGGGATCATCTTTTATTAGGGCATATAAAAATCACTGGCCAAAACCTAGTTTGAATCTCTGTTCCCTTTGGATGATAAACAACTTTTGTTGGGAAAGGACCCCACTCAGTTAATACTTTTTGAGTCAATATTTTTTGAAAAGGGGAATTTTACAGAGACACTAAAGACTTCAGTTCTTGTCTGATTCTACCACTAAACTGTGGTTTTAGGCAAATTACTCTGCTTCTGAGTCTCAGCCCTCTCGTTTAAGTGGGCAGTCCCTCTGGATGCCCACAGATCTCTGGTTCTGTGACTAGAAGTTGATGACCAGACTAGAAATTGGGATGGTTCATTTAGGGCTAATCAAGATGTCCTATTAAAGAGAAGGCAATGAGGAGATCAGGTTATCAGGGAAGGCTGGTCAGGAAAAAAAAAATGGAGCTAGAATTAATGTCTCAGAGAGAGAGTACATTTGTAGTTTTCTTTGGCAAAAATTTTAAGTAATGAAGTAAAATGATAATTTAAAAAATCGTTGATTTAACTCTCCTTGTAGCCATCTGTGTCTCCTCAGTGTGTTCTTATTTTCTCCTATCTTCCCCTTGCTCTGCAGAATTAATCTTATCAGTTCCTGGGGAAAAAAATAAACGAAGATCACTTTTAATAAGCATATGTGGTGGAAAACATTTAAAGATCTGGCATTCTTACCAGTTCTCACTAACATGAGCAGTCATTTCGCAAGCAAGCTACTAGCCCCTTCGTTTGTATGGCCTAAGGAAAGCCCCGAGCCAGTGTACACAGCTTTGGTGATGAAGATGGCTTTGTCTCAGTATTTAGTACCAGCTTGTCAGTGATCCGGGACTGATTTTGTTTGCTTGCTGGGCTGTCTCTGTGGTCATTTTATGCTCAGAGGTGAATTTTGGAGGGGAATTTATTTGAAGTCAGCTTGACCCTTTGCTTTACTTGTCCTTTTTCAATATATTGAAAAAAGAAAAGAGGTCTACATGGCTCATGGAGGTGGTTTAAGAGAACAAAGGGCATTTGAAAAAAGGAGTATTTTCTGAAAGATAGGCTGAATATAAAACAAAACAACTTCAAAAAGTCCCTCCAGTGTCATATTACAGGAAAAATCTGCTTATGGACTGCTAGGATTTCCTTTTAAATAGAGACCTTTTTTAAGAATCTGATTTCAGTCAGAGAGTGGGTTTTTTTCTTTCTTTCTTTCTTTCTTTCTTTCTTTCTTTCTTTCTTTCTTTCTTTCTTTTTTTTTTTTTGTGGGGGAGAGAGAGCGGAGGCAGCGGGTGGGGGTGGGTGTGGTGCAGAGGGAGAGGGAGAGAAAGAATCTTAAGCAGGTACCACGCTCAGCGTAGAGCCTATCGTGATGCAGGGCTTGATCTCACAACCCTGAGTTCATGACCCAAGCTGAAATCAAGAGCCGGACGCTTAACCGACTGAGACACCCAGGCGCCCCGAGGGTGGTCTTTATGTGAAGTTAAGGAGGGCACATTCTGCATGGAGCACTGGGTGTTATATGCAAACAATGAATCATGGAACACTGCATCAAAAACTAATGATGTAATGTATGGTGATTAACATAACATAATAAAAAAAAAAAAAGAATTTGCCCTGATTTATAGCCAGAATAGATTTTATATTCTATTTTTCTGGGATCTCTCCTGGACACGTCCTTGATCTATTTGTGAATTTGTTGTTGTTATTTTCTAGAAAGAAGTGCTTGTTAGCATTAAATGTTTGCTTCCCTTTCATATGTGTAGAGATGGAGGGTGGTCAGGCAGGTAGGATTGAGGGCTTGCTAGAGAGAGAGAGAGAGACTTTTAGATGGGTATTCCAAGCAACTCTCACTGGTTCAGAAAAGAAGTTTGTTTCTTCCTGGAAATCACTGCATTGCAATTTCACTTTTCTCTCCCAAGCATCAGGATATCTGAACAATATTTCTCTTCTCTTCCTCTGCAGGAAGGACATTTCCTACTCACCCTTATTTTTCAGCACAGCTTGGGGCAGGGCAGCTCTCACTCTTTAACCTCTTGAAAGCCTACTCACTGCTGGACAAAGAAGTGGGTTACTGTCAGGGGATCAGCTTTGTGGCTGGAGTCCTGCTTCTGCACATGAGCGAAGAGCAAGCCTTTGAAATGCTGAAATTCCTCATGTATGACCAGGGCTTCCGCAAGCAGTACAGACCTGACATGATGTCGCTGCAGGTGAGGCACATGGGAAGCTGTTATGAGCAATCATGGCAGTAGCCCTCTTCTACCTCACAGTAAGACTGAACGAAATTTGGACCCATTGTCTTGGAATTCGTATAAATGTAGAGGCGTGTTTTGAGTTCACGCTTTTAGTGTGGGATTTGCTCTTTGGCTAAACCTGTAAGTGTATGACAGTGTGTATGCAGAAAAACCCTTCCATGAAGTTCCTTAAGTGAATAAATAAGCAATTCTAGAAAGGTAGTGGGTGGATACTCAAGTCTCTCTCCCCTAAGTCTGCAAGTGGAGACGGAGAAAGAATCAAGTCCTCTTAATTCACTTTCCCTCAACCTGTCAATTGAAAAGAATCATAAATCTTTTTTTTTAAATCTAAAAATATAATGTGGTTTTGTTTTGTTTTGTTTTTTTACTGTGAATACATCAGTGGCAGGCAGCTGTTTCATGGTTCTTCTTGAACTTACCATGTCTCCCTTCCTTTACTTAATGTCAGATAGAACCTTCTGGAGGAGAAGGTGTCCAAAGTCGGTGGTACTTTTCAGTCTGCTTTTCTTAGCATGCGCTGAACAAATACCGTTAAGATGTTGTAGTCATTTTAAGTGGGGTATTCGCTGCTGCTGTGATCTTCAACCTGTTTCAGACTCCCTGTATACACATTTCTCCCTTCGAGTTTAAAGTCCACTTTTCTTAATGTATTGGTTTCTAACAAGCTGCTTAAATTTTATCTATAGATATGATATCACAAACAGCCACTACCTGTCAATTTAAAGCTTTTAGTAGTGAAAATATAAAGACTTTAAAGAGAGGAGTGTCAGAATTCATCTCCTTTGAAATGGGGTGGGCAAGATGCCCAGTTAGTCATAATATTATGCTGTAGATAAGAAGTAAAATATCTTAAAAATGCTTTTCAAATACACTCTTTTCTGCTTCCCAAGGATCAGTTTTTACATTTAGTATTTTAGGTACCAATCTATAGACAAAAAAGGACTGGGTTTTCACCTTGTGAATATTACAGTAAGTGGTATTTTCTTGAGAAGATCAGTTGTAAAGAAGTGGTCCATTTTTCTTCTTTAAGATGAAAGTTTTGCTAGGGAGGTAGGTAGGGCTTTCCTCTCAGCTTTGGGTTTTCAGGTGTTGAGTTCATATGAAGGGCCTTCACCAGGATATGTAAATATAGTGATTTGATTCCTAATTGATGACTATTCATAGGTCTGTTAACGTTCCACAAGTCAAATAATGACAATGGAAGGTTTTATGTTTTACTTTATTTCTAAAGTTTATCTGTATCTCATGTTGGATAGGAAGCATTGGTGCCTTTGTAAGGAATTAAGTATCTCTGATTTCCAGAAATAAGTTTGATATCTAATATTAAAATTTTAAAGAATGGAAAGTATCTGTGAGTCATGTTTGATTTAGGTACATAAATAGAAAGATAGATGCAATTATCACTTTAAAAATGCAGTGATTTTTCTTTTTTTCTTAAGATTTTATTTATTTGAGAGAGAGAGAAAGAGAACAGAGGAGAGGCAGAGGGAGAAGCAGGCTCCCTACTGAGCAGAGAGACTGACACAGGGCTCCATCCCAGGACCCTGAGATCGTGACCTGAGCTGAAGGCAGATGCTTAACTGACTGCGCCACCCAGGTGCCCCCAAATGCAGTGATGATTCAATTTAAAAATTCATCAATTTGATATCATAAAAATTCACATAAATTGGATAAATAAATTTATATGGCTTGCATCTACCAAGAGATATATATTTTTTAAAGATTCTATTTATTTATTTGCCAGAGAGAGACACCGTGAGAGAAGGAACACAAGCAGGAGGAGTGGGAGAGGGAGAAGCAGGCTTCCTGCAGAGTAGGGAGCCCGATGCGGGGCTCGATGCGGGGCTCGATCCCAGGACCCTGGGAACATGACCTGAGCCGAAGGCAGCCATTTAACCGACTGAGCCACCCAGGCGCCCCCTACCAAGAAATATTTTATATCTATAATAATGACAATGAAGTTGTTTTCCTCTTTGGCAGCATTTGTAGAGGCTGCAAGATTGGGGACCTTATTCTAGGAGGATAGAGCTTTTTGCTCTAGAAAGTGAGGTGCAACACTTTCCCACTTTCAGGAGCAGAGAGTGTTTTTTGTCCAATCAGTATGACTTTCAGAAGTGTAAGCAGCAGTGGGCTTGGATCACCTGATGGGATTTCTGATCACCTGCGTGGTGTGAGCTTGAGCACTGCTGGGTCTTGGCCTCAGTTCCCTTCTGTGTGACATGAGGGGGTTGAAGTCTCTTTTAACTTTGTCCCCTCATGTTTTGTGGCTGCTGTATTTTGTGTTGAGTGTGAAAGCACTGTGTCCTTTATCTGAAGTCTTTGCTCTCCCTTTTCCCCCGTCTTCTCTACCCTTCTCATCTCTGTCCCCATCTCCCTCCTCTGGATCTGCCTCTTCCGTCAGAAGACCTGCCATGTTATCTACACGGTAGAACTGAAGAATTTCTTATTCTTAGCAGATGGCATTTTATCATTAAAGCTTCCTTTGAAGGAAGATTGAATTGTGTTTTCATTTGCCTTTTTCAAAAGAGATTTAATGTAAATCTACCTTGATGGAAGAGATGTTCTAAACCCCTAGTTTAGAATGTAAAAAAAGGAAAAGCTTCTTTAAAAAAAATAAAATACCTTCTGTGTCACAGTCCTCACTGAACAAGAATAGAATGCTTTTGACCGTGTTTCTCTTTATTTTGCTAATTAGACTTTTTTGATTTTTGTGCTACCAAAATTCCTCTGTTGATAGAACCCAGTATGTCTAGTTTCTAAATTGTAAATGGCCTAAGGGAAATACATGATTTTTCCAACATGACTGATTGAGATGATAATCACATTCTTTTAAACCTTTATGTCTGACGGAATCTAAGCTTCTTGTTTTATAGCCATGGCTTCCGGTGGCTCTTTCTTTCCTTTTACAGTGTGTGTGGAACTTAATTTCCACAGATATGTGTTACAGATAAAGATCAAACAAATAATTTGCTGTGTTTATACGTAGTACTTTGATTTTTAGTTTTGTGCTCTGGAAACAACAGTTGAATGCACAATATAATTGGTTATTTTAATGCATTTTGTAAAGCTATTTAAGTGTGATATTTTGATGATATCTTCTGGGGAAAGAAGTTGTGCTAGATTTAATAAAATATTGTGTACTTTTCATACCAAAATGTCAAACTGATAGAACTGACCAAGGAACCACTACTCAGTATGTTATTGTGTGGATAAAAATTTAAAATAAGGCACCATTCACAAATTTGCTTATTATTCGCAGCCATATGCTGCCTTAATAATGTTTTGTGTTTTTTTTGAAATACCAATAATCAAGCAGTGGCCACATGAAATAATTTCTTCTAATACTAGAGACGGACTGTAATTTTTGCTTTAATCTTCTTTGTCATAAAAAAATATGCTGCTGGAATACTTTGGATATTGGAAATCGTATCTCAAGCGTCTGGCTCCATAACATTCTAAGCCAGGCAGTGTCCTAGCAGCCCCTGTTGCCTGTTGGGGCCTAAGCCAGAGCGCCATCATAAATCAGATGCGGGGCCCAGCAAATAGAGACAAACTTTGCTGGAACAATGAAGCGGGGGAAATCGGAGGGGGAGACGATCCATGAGAGACGATGGACTCTGAGGAACAAACTGAGGGTTCTAGAGGGGAGAGGGTGGGGGGATGGGTTAGCCTGGTGATGGGTATTAAAGAGGGCACGTTCTGCGTGGAGCACTGGGTGTTATACGCAAACAACGAATCATGGAACACTACATCAAAAACTATTGATGTAATGTATGGGGATTAACATAACAAAAAAGTAAAAAAATAAAAATAAAAAATAAAAAAAATTAATGAAATGAACTAAATGTGGTAGATCCTTTTGAATGGAGGCTTTTCTGGAATTGGTCTGAAATTATAATGGACTTTCCATGAGAGTTGTAGGCCAGGACAATTCTGATTAAATTCCAAAAGCAATGCCTTCCTACATGAGGGAAGATGACCATTTCCATGTATATATGTGATACCAAAACACACTAATGACAGAGAAACTTGCTCAGTCATCTTAGATGGACTCTTGTTGACTTGCCTTCTGACCTCAATTAAGTGAACTTGGACTTTAATATCAACTTTTTCATAATAAGAATAAAATAATACTACTTTCATATATTGAATATATATGAATTTGTTATTAAATAGTAGGGTAATAAAATTAAAGTTAGTGTATTTTATGCACAGATAAATGCATAATATTTTCTTTTTCTTCTCCAAATTAACTTTAGATTCAAATGTACCAGCTGTCCAGGCTCCTTCATGACTATCACAGAGATCTCTACAATCATCTTGAAGAAAATGAAATCAGCCCCAGTCTTTATGCTGCCCCCTGGTTCCTCACATTGTTTGCCTCTCAGTTTCCACTAGGGTTTGTAGCCAGAGTTTTTGGTAAGAGATGCCTATGATCAAATGGAAGTGTTATTTATTCCAAGGAATGTTCTTCTCACCATGTGGTGCCCCAATTTTATCGTGTGTTACACAGAATAGCAAATTGCCAGTAGACTTTAATAAATGTGCCTGGCTCTATTCTGAGAGTAATTTACAACTATATTGGTCTTAAATGAAATTGAAATTAAAAGGGAAAGAAGAATTGGGCCTTGTGTTCGAGTAGTTGTGATGGAGCTCTTACTTTCATTTATACCCCCAAATCAGAAGGCGCTTTTTTAAAAATCCCAACTAAGGACTTACTATGTATAATTTTCCAGATTTTTATGCACATCCTTCTTAGCTCAGTTTTTGTTTTTCTTTCCCCATTGTCTCCTTCAACACTAGTTCAGAACAGGGGGAAACATGTTCTCTGGTTGGGTCAATGGAAGTACCTGTATCAATGTGATTTCTAATGACTGTTTTTTTTTAAACCTGACTTTCGTTAATAAAACAACTGAAATTCCTGTTTTATTGCTTAAGTGACTCTCCTTCCATGCCAGTGACGTGGTGGCATCAATCTCTAAGACTGGGTGGCTCAGGGAAAAAGCACTAAACACAGGCAGTAAGGCCTAGGGCAAGATACTGAGTTCCCGTCTTGCTTCATCACAGTGTTAGGCACCAGGAATAAACTATGATGTGGTTTATGCACCCTTTGGGGGTCCTTAAATGTATTCACAAGTTTTTAGTGAGGTTTATCTAAGTCCATTATTTCAAAGACAAAAATTTTTTAAAAAACAGCTCTTTACTAGAGGTTTGTTCTGAAAGAGGTTTAGGACCTCTGTGACCTCAGAAAAGGCTCCCACAGTTTTTACATCCTGCTTAATCTGGTATCCATGGTGAAAGCAGTCAATATGTGCCTTTGCTAAATTGGAGCTTTTTGTCAAATTGTGAGTATTGGCCTGATTGTAGGTCGTTACCAGCATTAGAAAAGCATTAGAAAAAAAAAAAATGAGCTAGAATGGAATATAATGAAAATATCAGAGTATAACAAATAGTAAGGAAAAATGTTTGGAGAAGCTTCAATTTTGAAGATACGTGTGTAATATGTATACATATACCAGATAACAATGTATGGTGTCTTTCTTATTGGGGACTGTGATTTAAAAAGTTAAACACTGAATTAGTGTAATACAATCTGTAGACAAAGTACAGCAAAAGAACAAAATCAAGATGCGCAGAATCAAATGTTCACCAAATTTCTCTTCTTTATTAAAATACTGGATTGCTTCTCTTCAATTAAGTTTTTGGGTGGAGTTTGGGTTCCTATTCTTGGGTCTTTTAAAATCCTTTCATTCATAATATTTATTATATATAATATATATATTTACTCTCAGGATATATATATTTTTCTTAGAATAATTTATCAAATCAAAATGATAAAACGATGTTTGAAAGCATCTCTCTTTGACTTACACTTGGGAGCATGATATTAGAATTCAAGAAACAAACCTCCACAATTCTATTTTTTGCAATGAGAATATGACTGATGCCATCAGCTCTGCAGTAGCTGCTCAGTCCTTTTCTTTGAATTTAGTAAAGGGAAAGATGCATGAGCAGAAGTTCACAATTTCCTATTTTTTAAAGACTCCCTGTTGCTTATTACTGTTTCTAGAGTGGCAAAGATTGAAACTTTCATACAGAAATATTTGGTACGTTCAAAACTATTGCCTGTTTGTACCTGTTAGGAAGTAGAGTTCAGAGTCAGGGTAGCTTTTCTGTTTTTCTGTTTTACTTCTGATTTAGGTTATATATTGATTTTGATTTTTCTGTTAAGTTTTTTTTTAAATTTCTTGCTCTGGTATAGGTTCAATTGCATATTAACTGATTCCTTTATTTTTTATTATGGTAATGAGAGTTTAAATAGTACTAATTGCTTATGTTGATTTGTTTTTGTATTCCCCTTGTGAAGAAAAATCAAAGTATCAGTTGAATAAGCATCCTTAGGTTTACCTAGTCTCCGTTAAATCTGCCACTAAAAATTATAGATACATAGACAAACAGCTATGTAATTAACCTTTTTTACTTTTTACCTTGGCCTTATCTGAGATTCCTAAATAAGTAAGAAAAATACTTAAACATCTGTTTGTTTCAGTCATATTATTTTTTTTAAAACTTTTTATTTATTTATTCATGAGAGACAGAGAGAGAGAGAGGCAGAGGGAGAAGCAGGCTCCCAAGGAGCAGGGAGCCCGATGCGGGACTCAATCCCAGGACCCTGGGATCATGACCCGAGCGGAAGGCAGACGCTTAACCACCTGAGCCACCCAGGCGCCCCATATTATTTTTTTTAAATGTAGTGATCTCAAACCATATTCTTTTGCAGACTATTCCATCGTTCCACTGCAGTAATTAAAAACAACCACCACAAGAAACACAAAAAGCCATTAGCACAAAGAGTATACTTTTTACAATAGTGGATGCATAATTTTGATCATGAAATTGTATCTCTTCTTTTAGATATTATTTTTCTTCAGGGAACTGAAGTTATATTTAAGGTTGCACTCAGTCTGCTGAGCAGCCAGGAGACACTTATAATGGAATGTGAAAACTTTGAAAGTATTGTTGAATTTCTTAAAACCACACTACCTGATATGAATACATCTGAAATGGAAAAAGTCATTACCCAGGTATGATTAAAATGATAATAATAAGATATAAAATCATTCAGCAGTTTCTCCACTAATTACATATTAAATGCATTAGCATAAAGACTTAGTTTTGTTTGATAGATTTTTTTTTATTTGATCAGATATATTTTATTTGGAAATGAGATTATCGTGGAACTTCTACATTGTGACACTGTCTGTGTGGCTATGCACAGGAAAAGTGCCTCAGTGCTACATAAGGAATGTTTGGTGAATCTTTCCATTTTGACCAACGGTAAGACTGAAGGCAGAGCTGACAGAGTTAGGAAAATCTAATAAAATAAAAATGAGACCCACTTACCTTTGCAATACTAATTCTGTCTTAAAATATATAAGGAGGACACATGGCAAGAACCTAGGCTTTGGAATTAGACAGTATTGGGTTTGCATCATGTTCTAACTCTTTTATGAATTGGTGGGCTTGTACACATCTCCCTAATCTTCTGAACTCTAGTGTTCTTACCTTCCAAATAGGATAGTACTGGTTCAGAGGTTTTGTGAGGCTAAAGTGTAGGAAACAGAATCTGTCATCAATGATTCAAACAAAGGTGCCATTTTATAGAGGTTGGGGCAGGGTTAAGAGAACCAAATGTGGATATCCAAGTGCCCAGGAACTAGTAACAGAGGGAAGGATCTAATAGTGTTACCAGGCCCAGTGAGTACCAGAACTATGCAGGAGGGGCGTTTGGAGGTTTTTGTGCTCTTGGTGAGCCAGGCAAGGAAGGAGCAAGGAAGAAAGACCAACCTCTTTCTCCTTCTCTTTCTGATCTCCTACTGGCTGCTCTTCTGGACCATACCCAACCAGAGCCAGCAAGAAAGGAGGTGTGAAAGGGGGATGCGGGTCACAAGAGTCTGTCTCCCAGGTCCAGCAGAACAGATGAGGGTAGAGAATGGATCTGGGAAACAAGTGGAGAATAATCAATACATCACGTATCTAGTCCCTGGCTCTTCATAGGGACTAGATTCAGTGGTAGTTATATATTGATGTTACTCAGACGACATGAACAAACTTAAGATTCATAGATGACTGCTTTAGCAGTATTGATAAAATTTACCACCTTCCTAGAGGCACTTGGGATAGCAGATAAAAGAGTTTAGAGCAAGAGAAAGGGAATTTGACATAGTGTTCTGGTGCCTTACTGCCTATTAGCTGTGTGACTTTGGGCAAGTTACAAGCTCTCTGAGTCTCAGCTTCCTCCCTTACAAAATGAGAATAACAATGATGATCCTGTTACTTTTTCATATTGTTTTTAGGAGCAAATTTAACCAATTAGGTTGAAGAATTTTATACACTGTAATTCACACTATAACATGAACTCTTATTCTATGACATATAAAAGTTTCTTTTTATGGAATCTAAGTCACAAGCAGATTATTCTGTAAATATCTATGAACAGTTTTGTTAAAATGCTATGTAAGCTGAAAAATGTAGCTTTTATTTACATATGTGCTTGTTTATTAATTCTTCAGAAGTATCTTTTTGGACTGGCAAACAGTCAGAGATTGTGCTTTTAGAGAAGTGATAATATGATTTGAAGTCAGATCACCTCTCTTCTAAAATTAAGGAGGGAATTACCTGGCTTTAGAGATCTTTGCTAGGATGAATGGATAGAATTTATAGGCAGGTAGATTTGACTTGACATAAGAGAGATTTTTCTAACAATTAGAGTTGATTTAAAATGGAATGAACTGTTGATATTAAAGGAGACCTTGATGAGCTTTACTTAAAATATGATCACTGTGAAAAATGCCAATAATGCAGAAAAGGACAAAGGAAAAAATAAAAGTAAAAAAAGAAAGAAAAGAAAACCTACTAAACACATCTCTCTGCTTAAATATAAAGTGAAATCATACTATACATGCTATTATGTAACCTGATTTTTTTTGACAGTTTTTAGTTGTACCTTTATTCACCTTCGTACATTAAAAATGTACTTGGTTTAGAGATCTTAGTGACCACCCACTAATGTGGGATAGAAGTCACCCCTCTCTGCATGGTACTTGTTTTTTTAAAAAGCGGAATTTCTTCTAGGAATCTTACTGATCACACAGTAGTTACAAGAATGTCAGATATAATGATGTATACAATCGAAACTAGACAGGCTGATTAAGAACTTACATAATGTAAAAATACACATATGAAAAGTTAGCCCTAATAGGGAAAGAGCATTAAAATAATGCATGCAGCGGGAAGAGTAGTTGGAAGGTCAGGGGTCAAGTGCCCATATGCAGTACTATTGCTTCTTCCCCCCTCCCTCCCCCCCTGTTAATAAGTAATTTCCACTAACAGGTACAGGCATACCACACACATCTAAATACACAAAGGTAAATCGTGACCTGCTACAGTACAGGCTAAAGTGGTCTGTGATCTTTCTGTGCTACTCCCACAAAAATAGTAAATAGTGAACCCCATGCAGGTAGTAGGAAGCATTGGTTATTCTAGTTGAACTTGGAAAATGTTTAACTTCTGACATTAATATCTGTGGAGAGCATTAGGTCTCCTTTTGCTATTATTTTCTTCACAACTGACATGCACTTGGGAGTGGAGGAACTTTGATGCTTGGTTGACCTACAATGGCAACTGAAATACTCTTAAAAATGTGGTAACTTTTTTTTTTTTTGATGTAGTGTTCCATGATTCATTGTTTGCGTATAACACCCAGTGCTCCATGCAGAACGTGTCCTCTTTAATACCCATCACCAGGCTAACCCATCCCCCACCCCTCTCCCCTCTAGAATCCTCAGTTTGTTTCTCAGAGTCCATAGTCTCTCATGGTTTGTCTCCCCCTCCAATTCCCCCCCTTCATTTTTCCCTTCCTACTATTTTCTTTTTTTTTTTTTTTAACATATAATGTATTATTTGTTTCAGAGGTGGTAACTTTTTAATAAGAGTCACACACTTAACATAAAACATGGATCATCTACAGCTTTAGGCCAAATGGTAGAGGGAGTGCATCTGAATTTTAATGCTTTAGTTTCCGTGTTCTGTAGTTTCTAGCACTGTCCTAAGAAATGAAGCGGATAGAATAGCTTGTTTCTTTACCAGAGCAGACAGCAGTTTGACTTCTTAGAGAACATACAAACCAGGAAAAATGTCACACATTCTTTCTCTGGGCCCTTTGAGAAACTAGACCAAAATTTTAAATTATTCAAGGTTCTTATTGAGCAGTGGTCTTTTCTGTTATTGTCTAGAGAAGCAAAGAACTTGCCAGCACAGCGAGAGCACGGGCTCCTGGTACACATACACGAGGAGCAGGAACCTTGGGCAGCAGTTCAGAGTTTTCCTACCGCCATTTTCCCTGCTTTTTTCCAACGATTAAAGCAAATGGGGGGGGCTATGCTTGACAACTTAGGCTTAAAGATCCTCTTACAGAGATTTCCCCAGTTGAATAGAAACCCTTCTACAAAAAGTTGGCTGGTTCAGCAAACCTAGTAAAGAATGTCTTTCTGAATGCTTAAATTGCAGGTTCCTAATAGGGAAAAAGCATTAAAATAATGTGAAGGTCTATTTTATTGGCAACTTAGAATGCAAAGTATTTTATTTTTAAACTTCTAAATTTGAAAACAAAACAGCCTAGGTTAAATAATATAGTTTTCCAAAGCTGAATGTGCTCATTTGGAGCTTAGTTTTTCTGCTTGCAGTACAAAACAACTTCCTAAAACTCCTAGGCAGAAACACTACTGCTTTGATTATTTGAGACTGGATGAACTGATCAATCTCAGTTGGTAATATCCCCTATTTTTCCCCCCTGGTAAGGGTTTAAAAAAAATTCAAGAACAGATGCATTTTTCTAGTCTTACACAGACAATTTCATTCCAATGTCTCCTGAGAAGCATAGACCATATATAGGAATCAGTGTCTGTCCTTCTCACTTTCATACACTGTAGAAATCAGTGTGGACACACTCACCATGCTGTGTCCATTCACTAACGGGAAAAAGGCTTGATTAGCATGCAACCTGATTTTTTATTAAAAATATATATGGAGTACTGGACATTTTTACATGCCAATACATATAGACCCATCTTATTTTTAATGGTTGGGTCACAAGTCACAGTCCATTACGTCCATGGTTTCCCACTTGGTAGGGAAAAAGTGATGCTTGAGAGGGATGACCACCTTCTCTAGACAATTCATTTAAATTCTAAGATTGGAGTACCTCTGATAGTAGTAGGATAAATAAGTCAGGCTTGTGGTTTCTTTTCTCCCTATAGTGTTAGTGTAGACACTGTTGCTTAAATGGCAGCTACTTCCCTTGCAAGCTGAGACCAAGGAAGCATTACCTGCCCACTAACCTCTAAGCAAATGGTCTTCCTGCTTGGTGGCAATTTGGGAGAGCAGAATTAAACCCTCCAGCTCTGTACCGTGCTCAGGGAAGGCAGTTATCAAGATTCTCTGTGTGGTACAACATGGTACTCCTGAGAGGCTCACGTGGATTAGCAAATGCATGAAAATATTTAGTATAAGTCCTGTCTGCCCTATTGACAAATTATTAGAAGTAGCTTTGGTCTCTTTATTATAGAAATACCCTATGCAATTTCCCTTGCTAATCAGCAAAGATTATCTCTAACACAGGTAAGAATTATTCAGTAACTAATGTTATTAATCTGGTATGCTACATTTTCAGAGAGTTACCAGATGATGTATATTTTGGTTGCAAAATACCCTTGAGCATTAACTTATTCTAGTGCCTTGGCCTCATTATGAGAATGTTTCAGTTGTGTAGAAATAATCTATTTGTCCATATATAGACAGTCATACCTGTTATTCTTCCTTTTGATATGCCATACTCTTCCTCATTAGTATTTGGAAATCTATATGAAGCACACCAGATACATAGACTGTATTTTGGTATACATACTAAAGGCCAGACTAACCCATGGTATTTTCATGGCAGGTTTTTGAGATGGATATTTCTAAACAGTTACATGCCTATGAGGTGGAATATCACGTTCTGCAGGATGAGCTTCAGGAATCATCATATGCCTGTGAGGATAGTGAACCTATGGAGAAGCTGGAGAGGGCCAACAGCCAACTGAAAAGACAAAACATGGACCTCCTAGAAAAGTTACAGGTAAGGAGATAAAGATTTGCTCAAAAAAAGCACTTGACTGCACAGAACTATACCAGGAATTACAGAGATGTGAGGTGGATTGAACCATTGCCGACAGAGGGTCTGTGTATCAGACTGTGTTCAAGTGTTCTGGGGGCTGCTACAAATGCACAAATCAACCTAAATATCACTAGGGAGAGAAAATGTACACTCCCAAAATATTAAATGGCAATTCAAAACAGAATCTGGTTAAGTACCTGTAGGGTGTTACACATATTTGGTTAAGTTCAAGGGCGGAGGGGCTGAATATGGGAAAATGGGAAAGCTCTGGAGGACTTGGGGCTTGAGCTGGACTCTGAAGGATTGGTGGGAGAAATGAGTGGGGGGTTGGTATAAATAAGGAAGATGGGGCAGAGCAGCAGAGTAAGCTTGGGGTCAGTTTAAGATTTATGTTGGGGAAGGGTGGGATAAATGTGTGGAGGCAGAACTATAGATGACGTTCAGTGTCAAGCAGAAGAGCACGGCTTTAATCCTGTTGAGAGGGATATCTCTCAGAGCTTTTAAGCTGTACTTTAGAAAGAACAATCTGGAAACCTTGGCAAGTACACATTTGCATGGGGAGAGAAGGTATGGAGACTAGCTAGAAATCACTTGCAGAAATCTGGGGACAGTGAGAATTGTCTAGAGTAAAACTCACTGAAATGGAAAAAAAGGAGGCATTTTTCAGAGAATCAAATGAAAACACGTAACACATAGTCCCTTCCATCAAGGAGTTTACAATTACTTGGGAATATGAAATACTATGTATTTATTTATAAATGCACATTTACAAAAGCAATAAGCAAGTTAGTATAAACTAATATTCTGCATCTGCAACTTGTATGATGTGAGCTGTGTGTCCAGGCCCCAAGGGTCAGGGCTTAAGAGTGATCAGTGGAGGGGAGGTTAGGAAGGGAACCTTCTGGGAGGTGGGGGAGATGAGTTCTGAGTTGGAGCTGAAGTGCCTAATGGCTCCTTGATTTCTGTCTACCCCCCACTTCCCAACATGATACCTGTTCCTAAGCTAGAGAATACTAAAGCTCTGCTTCTATGTGGTGAGTCCCCTGACAAGAATGACTAGGAGAGAAAGGCTTAGAAACGAGGGGTCTCCAGAGTAATTGCTCCCCAAGGATAGGAACTCTGACTTCCTTCACTTCATTTTACATTAGCTCCTGCCCACCGAAAACCGTATGCCCATTCAAAGAGCCAACACTATTTTCAAAAAAGAAAAACAGTGAGGTATTGTCCCTTATTATTTGATGCTTCAATGGTGATTAATTGAGCCCTTTTCTATTAGGAAAAGTGGGTTTGCACCTGCTTTATATTATAATGATTTTTATCAATAGTTACAAACTTTTTCATTGACAGTTAAATGTCATCATCATGTCTTGGTTCCCAAGTTATGTGGGAGCCCCTGACACCCACTGAAACTGATAGGATACCAAGTATGTGTTTAGAAAACCCTGTATTTCTAGTCAGGGGGTGGAAAGCCTCTTTCAGCACCTCCGGGCAGCATCAGAAATCTCCCGTTTCTCCTTCAGCCAGATTCCACTCACTCCAGGGGAATACAGTGAGGCCCCCACCACTGTGGGATGCTGATTTAATCTTGCATTTTTGTTGTATTCAGTGTATTCAGTGACATGAGGTGGATTTTGTCAGTACTGCAGTTACATTTTGAGAAACCCCTGTCACAAAGGGTTTCAAAGTATTTGCTTCACATACTATTTTATTAAGTAATGCGATATGATTGGTTACTAGATCTAAGGTCTAGCTGAGGTTCTGATGAGGAACTGGACTCTTCAGATTTTTGATTTGGAGGAATTTGCATTTGTTTTTCTTTCCCCCAAACAGATAGCTCATGCTAAAATCCAGACCTTGGAATCCAATCTGGAAAACCTTCTGACCAGAGAGACCAAAATGAAGTCTTTAATCCGGACTCTGGAACAAGAGAAAATGGCTTATCAAAAGACAGTGGATCAGATCCGGAAGCTGCTGCCAGCCGATGCGCTCGCCAGTTGCGAATCATTGCTAAGAGACCTCACTTGCAACCCTAACAACAAAGCCAAGACAGGAAACAAGCCATAATTGAAGAAGCACCACATCAGCAGAACGGCTCTTAGAATGGTGAAGAAGGGAAGCGTCTGCGTGCTGCCGGCCCAACGCTGGACACCGGAGCTGACGGAACCACTGCAGTCTGGTGCTGAGCCCTAGTCCTCGAGGGTGGACCTCGCTCTCGTTAGAGTACGCCAATCCTAAGCCATTGTACATATGTAGACTGGTTTTATGTTGTTGACTATGTACATAGACATAAAATGGACATAAAGAGTTCATGCCTTCAGATCAAAGGAGTAGATGTATATTTAGAGTAATTTTTTAAATCAAAACTTCATGAAATCCACACCAAAGGGAAGTTAAAATGAAATTCCCCTTGGACATAGGTGAAATCATTTTGTCTTTGTAGTGAAACAAAGCTAGAGCATCTTTGTATATTGAAATATACTTGAAAAAAATGAATGTATTTTTTTCTCCAAAGAACAGCATGTTTCACTCAATGGTGGAGAGGTAGAAACATTTGTGTAACTTTATGTATATCTGTCTTAAAATCTACTGACATTATGTATATCTGAGGAAAATGACAAATTGCCAATTATGCTCCTATGGGTTTTTCAGGAAGGTGGGGGCCTTCCTCCCCCGCCTGCTTTGTGCCAACTAGCATGTTGTTGTCTACATGCATTTTGAGTCAGGTTAGGCATGACTTTGGACATGCATAAGGAGAAAGCAAGACATCGTCGTGGAGTCTACCCACCCAGCTCAGGGTGAAAGAGAATGTTGCTAATTTCTCAGCAAATTAGACCAGCATTGTTACTCAAACTAAAAATATCAGGCCTCCACAATTTCATTTAGGACCTAAATTGTCTAGATCAACTTTCTATTTTTTATTTAAATGACTCCTTACAGTCATAAATGGGCTCCCTTTTACTTGGTGCCATAGTTGGTGACAAGGATTTGTCATTTTCCCACTTACAGGAGCTCCTAATTTAATTCTCTCTACCTTAAATGAAAGGGAAATTATGATTGGTTTTCTAAAGATAATATGCTGTGTTGAGACACTTTTTTTTTTTTGCCAACTGATTGAATCTAATAAGCTCTCAATCATCTTTCCCTTGTATGTGAAAGTTTGTGAGAACTGTGAAATGTTTAAGAATAAACTGTTGAAATCCATTGGAGAGAAGTGGAAAGTGGCATCAAGCTCTTCTAAGACCTACTTCTGTGTTTGAACTCCCAGCTTCCTCAGCCTACAGCTTATCAGAGGACATTCATGCATGCTGGGTATGTGGAGGAAAAGTAATTTTCAAAGTACACATGCAGTTCTCCATTTCAGAGATGATTCTATGGTAGTGCCTCTGAAAGTTGATGCAGCATTTTTGCCTTTCCAAACAATATTATCATTTCTGCTTTTTGCAGTCCTTATCACAGATGGATCACTTGGGATAATTTTCTTCAGAGGGAGTTTTTTATACACTAGCCACAGTGTATTATAGGTTAGAAGGGCAAAGCTCTCAAGGTTTGGGAAAACCTTGAAGAGCAGATGATAAGCATCTGAACCCCTGCCTTTACACCATTACTCAGTGTAAATGTAATGATTCTTGTTTCAAATCATCATGCCTTCTAATCCAGTTTTTTTAAAAAAGAAAATAAAATCTTATTAGGAAAGTTAATGTAATTTCTAGCTCTAGGAAATGCAGATTCTAGGTCCCCTATTAAGTTGGGGTTATCAACTGATTTGTTGCTTGGACTCCCTCAAATTTCTCTTATTTGTAGGAGAGGTTTTTCCTATGAGGAATATGACAGATACCATCTGGTTACTGTCTGATATGAGAATTACCTTATGTTTGTGATATACAGGCGGTAGCCAAAGAATCTTTAAGTTGGGAAAAGAAACTTTCCCTTTCAGTTCAGTTTCAAGTAAATTTTATTCTGGATATTCAAAGTCAACGTCATGAGCTGTGTTACAGTGTTCAGAGATTAAAATGTCTTAGATACAGTATTTCTTCTGAAAATGAATTTTCTTTTTCTTTTGTGACTTTTTTAAATGTTGCACCAGTTATGCTTATGCATTGTTACATCTTCATCCAATTAATGTAATGTCTAGCTCATTTCCAATAAATCTATTGCTACGGTTTCCTTGGAGTATTGGTTTGTGTTTATAATAGGAAAGAAGATGCTCTTGTTTAGAGTTCTTTACAAAATCTGCATGGGCTGGATTATTGCTACTTAAAATTGCTTCAATGATAATTCTTTTTAATAGAATCAGAGAACAAAGATAATTGATAGAAATATGAAAGTCCATTGTCAGTTAGCAATTTTCAACTTTTTTCCCCAGTGGAGCCTTTCTCTGTTGAATATAAAAAGAAAAAGACAACCACACTGACAGATTTGCATTCTGTTCCTTTTGTTTTCTATGCTCCCTCATAGATCACAAGGGAGAGAAGAGAAGAAAATATAATTTTTAAAAAATTGGGTTAGTTTCCAAATAATTAAGAATAGTTATTGATGGATATGATGTGAATGTGTTTACATATATATCTTCAGAATATTCTCTAGTATGTTTATAATCCAGTACAAGGATACTGGATCTTCTTGGTAACTTTAGGACTAGAACTTTTATGAGATATTTTGCATTACAGGTAGTAAACACTTTGAGTTGTCAGTGTAGGCTTACATAGTATGGTCTCTTAATATCCATGTTCACTTACCCATTTTATGACCATTTCACCAATTTGTTTTTACTGTGCTAGATTAAGAATAGGAAATCTGTCATCTGAAGTATTTGGTCCTCTACCATAATGTGTCACTCTTACTGGCTGTGATATATTGAGAAAAGCACTAGATTTAAGGTGGGAAATTTTAGATCTGAGTCTTGGTTCCACCACTTTTATTTATTCATTCAACCAATAGTTTTTGTAAGCCAAGCTGGATGCTGAGTATTGAGAGGTGGAGGAGATATAGTCCTTGTCCTTGACGTGCTTGCAGTCTAGTGGCAAGGGGATAATTAGGAAGCAAGAGAATTTATATTACAGGTCCGCAAAGTAATCCAGATGAGAATCACTTCACTCAGCCTAGACTGGAGGGACTGGCAGCACTGGAAGTGGGTGTCAAAAGTGTTTGGAGGAAGTGATGCTTGACCTGAATCTAGAAGAGCCAGTAGGAGGTAAGTTGTGTTAAAAAGGAGATGAATGAGAGAGGATGGTATATTTCTGAAGTCACAACTCATTAATCCTGAAGTACAGTTAGTGCTCCCATGGGGGAGAGGTGAGAGACAAACATGGACTCTATCATGAAGATCTTAGTAGACCTTGTGACAGAGTTTGGACTCCACCTAGAGAGATATGGGAGGTGTTAAAGTCCAGTAACCTAGAGAGAGACACAATCAGATTTGCTCTAATCTAAACCCAATTTCTACATTGGACAGAGACTAGGAAATGGGAGACTGCAGTTTGGTGATTTCCATAAAAATCTAGGCCAAATAAAATAAAATAGTAAAAACTTGATCTAGAGCAGTGGCCTTTGGGGAAGCAAGTCAGTGTAGACTTCTGTCTCTTGACAGAGTTAGTCACTGAAACCTGCTAGTTTTATCTGCAAAATATTTACCCATTTTCCAATTTCTGCCCATTGCAGCTACTTTCATTCATCTCCTTGCTCTGGTGGGTTAAACTGAGATCATTTCCCACTTCTGGGGACAAACTCCTAAGTCACAGATATTGAACTACTTGGTTTTTGTTTTGTTTTGTTGACTTAGAAATGGAAGCAGAAAGTGGGGTCAAAGAGGGGAAGGATCTAGGATAGACAGGGAATCAGCTGGGGGCGTAGGGAAAAAGCAATAGAAGTGATGGTCAGTGGGACTTTCTGGAGTGACATGCTCTGCAAGCCTATTTTCCCATCCACCCCATTATGGAACTAGATTTGTTTTGCTTCAAACCCCACTTCAGGGTGAGCAGCACCAAAGGGTATGCCAAAGGGCGCCTGCCCAAGTGCAGGTTATCCTCTCTTACCTGGACTGCTCCTCACCTCACGCAGAGGGACCTTCCTAAAACCTAAATCTCACCTAAGTTTAGCTTCAGCTTAAAACCGTTCAAAGGCTCTTCTTTCCTCCCAGGATTATCCAATCTTTAAGATGACACATTTGGCCTTCTATGAGCCTGTCCTTCATAACCCGTCTAGCTTTGTCTCCTGCCCGTGGCCTCATCTTGTCCCCTCCTCTGGTCACATGGTTCAAGTCTACCTCCTTTCCTGAAGCAGCCATCGTTCTGTTTTGGACAGGCTGGTCCCTTTCCAGAGAGCTTGGGAGTGCTCCTTTCTTCCTGCATTCCAAGGAGCTTACTCCTTCAGAACGCCCGTAGGTCTGTGTAGTAAGACAAACTGACCACCCTCGCTACCGCCCAGGGACTACTGTCACAGTGTCATAGCATTAGTTACCTCAAAAAAAAAAAGGGAACCATGATGCTTTAAAATCAAAAATCTTTACTCTCATCTGTAAGATCGCTTTAGATAGAATAGCACCAGGATCTGAGAGCTTCAGCTGTGATCTAATTGAATATATTTGCACAGCTAAAGAACAGTTAGGTTAATCAGAAGAGAATGAGTCTTGGAAAGACAGGGGAAAGAAAGCCAGTCAGTTTTGGTAGATCCAGTGGAGGGAACCCTAGCCAAGACCACTAGGCAAGCCTGTCCTCATTGTTAAAATGAATACAGAGGCGGGGCGCCTGGGTGGCTCAGTCGTTAAGCGCCTGCCTTCAGCTCGGGTCACGATCCCGGGGTCCTGGGATCGAGCCCCGCATCGGGCTCCCTGCTTGGCAGGAAGCCTGCTTCTCCCTCTCCCACTCCCCCTGCTTGTGTTCCCTCTCTCGCTGTGTCTCTCTCTGTCAAATAAATAAATAAAAATCTTTAAAAAAAAAATAAAATGAATACAGGGAGTCCTGGCTTCCAGAATCCAAGTGCTCTGGTTCCTCTGACAAGTCTGTCCTTGTTGTGAGATTGCTGTGTCACCTGCGTTGGACAGACGTCTCAAACATCCAGTTCAGTGGACTACCCTTGTTCTTTTTTTTTTTTTTAATTGATGTATGCCTTCACAGCAGGCTTCCATTTATGATTTAGTTTTTTTTCTCTGTTAGGCTAGGCTAGTTGTAAAAGAGCAAATACTTAAATCCCTGTGACCGTACTGTTTTTCTATAAATTAAAAACAAGGATTCTGAATTTTCAAAATTGTGGTAAAATACACATAACATAAAATATACCATCTTAATCATTTTAAGTGTACAGTTCAGTGGCATTAAGTATATTCACCTTGTGTATCCATCCATGAACTCTTTATCTTGCAAAACTGAACCTCTGTTACCTATTAATAACTTCCCAATCCCCCCCTCCTCCCAGCCACTGATAACTACCATTCTGCTTTCGGTCTGTATGAATTTGACTACTCTACTACCTCACATACATGGAATCATACAGTACTTGTCTTTTTGTGACTGGCTTGTTTTACACAGCATAATGTCAGCAAGGATCATCTATGTTGTAGCATGTATCAGAATTTGCTTCCTTTCTAAAGCTGAATAATACTGTATTGAATGTATACACCCGATTTTGTTTATCCATTCATCTGTCAGTGGACACTTGGCTTGCTTCCACCTTTTGGCTTAGACAAGTAATGGGATATGTGTACAAATATCTCTTGGGGATTCTGATTTTAAACATCAGTTTCAGAAGCTTGGTTTTTGTGAGTCCACCCATGAGAAATGAATCTGTTGTTTGTGTACTGAAGAAATCATATTCTTGTTTCCAAGACCCAAGCTAGAGCAAACTCACTAGAGTAAATGATATCTTTTGGGTGATTTTTTTGGATCATATGGAAAGAACCCTAGAACGTACAGATGTGATGTTGCACAAATTGGTTTTCTTAATAATAATGCTGCTTCTGCAAACATAGGAGAAGAATATTTTTTTCTAAGGGATACTAAAATATTGCTAATATTCAAGTTTTCTTTTGTAAAGTAAAAGTCTCGTGTGGTCTGATATTGTTTCCCTTCTCAAACTCAGTTAATTTGCAAATTCACCAATGCTATTTTTAATAGAATATGATATTGTTCAGAAGTAATCATTTCAGTTAAACATATAGCTAATGCTCTACGTTCAGGAGTGTTCCACGGGGCTTTACAAAATGAAATGAGGGCATTTCCTTTGTTGACTTTCACTAACTTGGGCATATTCAGTTTTCCTTATAAATTTATGTTCTACTTTGTCTAATCAACAGTTACTCTGAGTCCTTTCTGCTCCCTAATTTAGCCATTCTGTGGTAAATTTGGTACTTACAGTGAGATATCACCACTGGCTGTTTAATCAGTCTATTAAAGCTTATGTAATGAGATCATTCATTGGTAAACTTAATAGTACTTATATTTAAAGTCACAGGGCAAGGCAGGAAGGGATGTACCGGTGACCCAAGTGAATTAATATACTTGATTTTCTTTCCCTTTCTCGTGAAGCTAAGCTTATTATCAACCATGTATGCCCTTGGATAAACTGTCTCATATTCAAAGTATCAAAAAAATACATTTTACATGCTGTTTCTAAGAAAGGGTTGCAAGACATAATACCAGTGCAAATTTGGAAAATATGCTTTCTTGCAATTGTTATCTTTCTATTCCTCTGCTCTTCCTGAGCCTGGAGGAAGTAGGCAAAAGAGTTATTAAGAGTACAATCCCTTGCTTTCAAGAGAGATTCCCTGCCGCAAACAAAACACCACTTCCTGAAAGACTGTACCCATCTTCTGTTTGAAGGACTGTTTGAAGGGATGACAGCTGTGCACTTTTTCACTATGCAGGTTAACTTTTCCTGTGACAGGCACACTCAGCATGAGCAAACTCTCATGCTTTTGTAGGCATTTTATTGAGCTGGGTTGTCCCCAGCCCACACTTATTTGTATACCTGGCAAGTTATATGAAAGAACTGGGTTCATCCACTGCATTTTTTGGTTGATGAGCACCTGAATTGTTGGTACCATCTGTGAGATCCAGTTGTTATGGTTCTGTAGCAGGGATACTTGGGACTACCTCAGAATTCCCTAAAATTTATTCCTGGAGAATGTTAAGGCTTCCAAAAGACTATGGGCAAATGAGTTTGAGAGACTA